AAATCACCCCCCAGGGGGGATGGTCACGCCGCAATCCCTTCTCCTCCATTCTCCTCTCGGGATCTTGGGCACGCACGCACACGCGCCCGGCGTGAGTTTTAAGCCACCTGGTCCGGGACACGAACCGTGGTCGACTACGTGGGAGTCCAGCGACATAGCCATTACACTAACTGCTGGTTCCCTGCAGTTTTTATCTTAAAGTCTATTTTGTCCGAAATCAGTATAGCAACTCCCGCTCTTTTCTGGTTTCCATTTGCATGGGTTGCCTTTTTCTAGCCCTTCACTTTTAGTCTATGTATGTCTTTATCCATGAGATGGGTTTCCTGTAGGTAGCAGATGGAGGGTTTCTGATTTTTAATCCAGTCAGCCAGGCTGTATCTCTTGATTGAAGAATTTATTTAATTAACATTCAATGTTATTATCAATATTTCCAGAACTTGTCCCTAACATTAAGTTGGCCTTATTGGTGATTTTTTGTTCTCTTATTGTTATCTGTCTCTCTTTAGTTTTCTTGGTATAGTACTCCTTTCAGAATTTCTTGAAGAGCTAGGCTGGAGTTGGTAAATTCTATCAGGTTTTGTTTATCTGAGAACATTTTTATTTTCTTTTCCCATACGAAGGATAATCTTGCTGGGTAAAATATTCTTCGGTGAAATGGTTTTTCACTTAATACTTTGAATTAATTTCCCCATTCTTTCCTTGCTTGCATTGTATCCAGTGAGAGATCTGGTGTTAGCCTGGTAGGATAGCCTTTGTAGGTGATTTGATGTTTCTCTCTTGCCAATCTTAGTATCGTGTCATTTGTTTTGGTCAATCTACCTATACTGTGCCATGGAGAGGATCTTCTTGGATTGATTCTACCTGGGGTTCTTTGTATTTCTTGGGTCTGGATGTTTGAATGCCTCTCTAGACTTGGAAAGTTTTCTTCTAGGATTTCATGGAATAGATTATCCATGTTCTTATTAGTTTCTTCACCTTCTGAGATACCAGTTATTTAGATATTTGGGCATTTCGTGTTATCTAGTATTTCTCATATGTTATCATTTTTCTTGGCTGTTTTCTCAGTATTTTTGATAATTTTTTTCTAGGTTAGAAGTTCTGTCTTCTACTTCCAAAATTTGATCTTTGGCATGATCTAACCTGCTTTTAATACTTTCAAGGGAGGTTTTAATTTCCTGTATTATATCCTTCATAACTAACAATTCCATTTGATTCTTTTTAATGTTGTCCAATTCTTACTTCACGTCGTGGAAGGACTTCCTCATCTCCTGAAGCTCAATTTCTCTTTTCTCTTGCATCTCATAGAATTTTGTTAACATAAATACTCTAAATTCTTTTTCTGATATTTCGATAATATCCTCTAATATTTCTCTAGTTGGAGACAAGTTACAGTGTTCCCTTGCTGGAAATGTATTACTTAATTCTCTCATCCTTGAGGCTCTTTGATTTTTAGTCATTTGGTAATGTATCTACTCTTGTCTAACTTGTTAGAGAAAGATTCTGTGACTATGAGCTTTTTGTGTTTCACTTACTGTGAAATAATTTGGTGTTAATATCTCCCTTCTACTGTGTTCTCCAGTGTGGGAAAAACGAGGGATTTTGCCGTCGGATTTATGAAGAAGAATTTCACTATTTTTTCAACTACTACAATGAGGTGCAAACAATTCTCTAAAAGGAACACTCACAACATTCAGATGTTTAGCTATTATGCACCTAGTCATCTCTAGGTGGTAAAACAGGAGAGTAAGGTAAAAGAAAAAGAATAGGAAATAGAAGGAGAAAGAAAAGATAGAAAAGCAAAGTACTATAAGAAAAAGAGGAAAAATTAGAAATCACATCACAGAACATGAAATTGGGTTAAAAATGGAAAACCGTGTGGGGCACTTGCCCAACACAGGCAAAGGTGGAGAACCCTGGAGGCTTTCTGTCCTAGGTGAGGGAAGAAGAGATAAATTAACAAGAGAAAGGCAAAAAAAAAGAGGGCAGAAAGCTGATTTTAAAAAAAGAGAGAGAGAGAGAAAATTTAGAAGGGACAGAGAAGAACAAGAGGGAGACATTTGCATACCTGACCAGCACTGGGGTCTGTGAGGAAGCCTTGACTGGGGAGGGGGGGACTTCACAGCTCTGAAGTAGAACCCAGAGGCCCAACAGAAGCAGAGATGGAGAACCATGGAGGCTTTCTGTCCTGACTAGCACTGGGGTCTCTGGATCCAAAATTTGACCTTTGCTTTCCCTGTGCACCACTTTCTTTTCTGTGTACCACTTCATTTGCTGTTCTCTACGCATTTTTATCTCAAATTCTGATTTTCGGTCTTTTCTCAGAGCTATTTTTTAAAATAATTATTTATTTAATTTTATGTATTTATTTATTTTTTAATTTGCTATGAGGTATGTGTGCTCACCAGAGAGAGAGAGAGAGAGAGAGAGAGAAAGGAAGAAAGCAAACTGCCAGGTCTGGGACTCAAACTGCGGTCAGCCATGTGGGAGTCCAGCGCCTCAACCATCATGCCACCTGCTGGCCTGCTTTCATAGTTTTGTTTTGTTTTTAAGGGAGATTTTTGCTAAAGGGCGCATGTGCTCACCAGAGAGACAGAGAAAAAGTGAGAAATCACCCGCCAGGGGGATGGCCATGCCACAGTCCCCTCCTTCATTCTTCTCCTGGGATTTTGAGTGCTTACGCATACACGCCCTGTGTGAGTTTCAAGCCATCAGGTCCAAGATTCAAACCACAGTTTTGGCCATGTGGGAGTCCAGTGTCTCAATCACCATTCAGCCCTCTGACCTCATAAAAAACGTGCATACTGAGAAAGACAGAGAGAAAGATGGACTTTGATGTCACAATTCTACAGCCTCCAGTAGTTTTTGCCATAGGGCAGGCACTACCACGTCCCTCTCATAGCTATTTTTAAAAGCTTTTATTTACCTTAATACTAATAATTTTTTTGAGAGTTTTTTTTGCTATAGGGTGTGTGCGCTCGCCAGACGGAGAGAGAGACAGAGAGATAGAAAGCGAGAAATCACCCCCCAGGGGGCATGGCCACGCCACAATCCCTTCTCCTCCATTCTTCTCTCGGGATCTTGGGCACGCACGCACACGTGAGTTTTAAGCCACCAGGTCCGGGACACGAACCACAGTTGACTACATGGGAGTCCAGCAACATAACGCTAACTGCTGGTCCCAATATTAATAATTTTGATAGATAATTCTTTTCATGGGCCCAGCTCCATGGCCTAGTGGTTAAAGAAGTCATGTCCCACATCACCAACATCGGTCTGAATCCCAACCCCAGGAGCCTGAGAAACACACCAGGTACATGTATGTGCATATCCAGAATCCCAACGGGATGGAGAAATAGAGGAGAAAAGATTGCGTGTGACCATACCTCATTAAGGGGTGCTTCTCTCCCACCCCCCGATCCACCACCTCTGGCAAGCACATGTACCTTCTGGCATTTAAAAAAAAAGAGGAAATGCTTTTCATGGGCCATTGTGTAGCCTATTGGTTGGGGAAGCCAGATCCCATGTGGCCAGCCATAAGTTGAGTCTCAGTACCAGCATCTTCCAGTGCATGCTGGGCACATGTGTGTGTCTATGCCTAAGGTTCCAACCAGATAGAGAGATGGAGGAGGAAGGATTGTGGTATGATCATGCCCCATTGGGAGTTGTTTTCTCTCTCTCTTTCTCTGTTTTCCTCTCACTGGTAAACACATGTACCATCTGGTAAATTTTTTTTAACAAATAAAGAAAATGCTTTTCATGTTACTGTTGGCTGCTTAACTTGCAGGAGTTACTGTTCACTGTCATGAACTCTCTTATAACTAGCTTGAAACTCAAGTAATGTAAGCAGAATTGGAAGAATCTTGAAAGGTGTTCTCTTCTTTCATATAGACCTGTTTTTTAAAAATATTAATAATAATACATACCACCTTGTCTGATAAATATTCACTGAGCACCTGCAGTGCTTTGGGAGCTATTCAAGGGGCTGGGAATTTGAACATGAATAAAACCTGGTCCCTAACCTCTTAAGAGTATTCATCTTAGAAAGGAGAACAGATAAATGAACAAATAAGTACAAAATAGCGTGAAATATAGAACAGTAGAAGATATACAAATTATATGCTGGAGGATAAACAGATAAGGTAGGGGTTTGTTCTTTACAGTAACATTGGAAATACCTATTAGATGATAGACTATATGAACAGGGCTTCTAAGGTGGAAAACACATACAGATTTTGTAAAGAGGTCTCCTGCTATAATCGTGTGCTGTGAGGAATGACCATCCCTTTACACAGGTGAGCCTGGAGAGCCATACTTGGATCTGTGTTTGGCACCTAAAACCTTAGGTGATCTATTCAATCAGGTGTTGGTCGTTTGTTCTATTACATTAACAACATTAGTGACCCCAGTAGAGGGGGCCTTACAACAAATAATGAGTTCATGCTAATTAAACATATTTGTGGTTTCAGGTAAAGACACTGCATTGCTTAAAGTACTGTAATTTCTGGTTTTGTGAATACTGTGATGATGTTAGTGATTGCTGTTATCCCACTTCCAGAACAAGGAAAAAGAACATAATGTGTGGGAAGTGATAACCGTTGGGCTCCATAGCAGTGACCCCTCGTGAGCAGTCTTCTGTGCCCCTCATGTCAGATCTGGAAATAAGAATTTTCCTTTATACATTTTAGGACAGAAACCCTAAATCCTCTTATTCTATTTAGGAAGACACTATAGGTACACTAACTTTTGTCTTCTCTCTTTAAATAGGGGAGTTCATCAAAGCTTTATATGAGTCAGATGAGAACTGTGAAGTGGACCCCAGCAAATGTTCATCGAGTGAACTGATAGACCATCAGAGCAACCTGAAAATGTGCTGTGAGCTGGCTTTCTGCAAGATCATCAACTCTTACTGGTGAGCTAGTATCCAGACTTCACCTTTTTGTTTATGGGACTTATATTTTTACACGTGTGCTGAGCATATGTATCTGGGTGCCCAAAATCCTGCAGGATGGGGAAATGAAGGAAAAAGGATCGTGGCATGACCATGCTCCATTGTGGTTGTAGGGGGGAGGTGCTTTTACACTCTCTCTCTCCTGCACACACTCTCCGGAGATTTAAGAAAGAGAAAGAGAACTAAAACAAACAAAAAGTCATCACAGTGTTAGTTATTATTTCTCAACCAAGGGAAGGACTTTTTTTTTTTTTTACCTTTTTTCAAAGAAAAAATGGAAAATTTACCAAAATAAAACCTTGTCTAAAACCTAAGTCTCCATTGTAAGCACAAATAATTCTGAACTGGCTATCTATATAAGTATAATGTGTCCCAGAATATTAGTGCTATATCCTCTAATGCCACAAGTATTTTTCTAGCTTTCTGAAATATTTACTGGTGTTAAGCAGATGTGTTCATTAATTTTGATCATTGCTCTAACCCAAGCAATTGGTGAGATTCAGGAACATTTCTGATGACAGTCTTTAGAGAGATTATAGTGAGCTATATTAAACTTGATGGTTTAGTCAGAAGCTTCATGCCATTTTCCCACTTTGCAAAACTAAATTTATACTAATCCAAAGTTTCATAGCCTCCATCTGTCCTCCTGTGAAATTTGCACCACCTATCAGCGATGAATCAGAAGAGTCTCATCCTTCGATCTCTGCTAGGTCCTCCTCCTTGCTCCAGAGCAGAGGTGTATTGAGTCAGAGTAGATCACTGTGTTTTCCTCAGTCACGGTATGCTTTTATTTAGAGGTTTTGGTATTTTTTTTCTTACCCCAGTGTTTTCCCTCGTGAGCTGAAAGAAGTGTTTGCATCATGGAAGCAGCAGTGCCTGAACCGCGGCAAGCAAGACATTAGCGAGCGACTCATTAGTGCCTCATTGTTTCTCCGTTTTCTGTGCCCCGCCATTATGTCACCCAGTCTTTTCAACCTTATGCAGGAATATCCTGATGACCGCACGTCCCGGACTCTAACTCTCATTGCCAAGGTCATTCAGAACCTGGCCAACTTTGCCAAGTAGGTGATGCTGTCTAACCACTTTTACAACACTTGAAAAAGTACATGTGGGACCAGCAGGTGGCATAATGGCTACATTGCTGGATTCACACATAGTCTACCATGGTTTGAGTCCTGAACCCGGCAGCTTAAAACTCATGCCAGGCACGTGTACATGTGTGCCCAAAATCCCAAGAGGAAAAGGGATTGCGGTGTGGTGTGACCATCCCCCCTGGGGAGTGATTTCTCACTTTCTGTCTCTCTGTCTCTCTCTGTGTCTCTGGTAAGTGCACACACCCTATACTCTCTCTTTTAAAAAAATAAATAAATTAGGATGAGTAGGAAGTCTCCATTCATGTTACTTTAGTCATTTAAAAACAAGAAAAGGGTAAGATACAAAATGTTGCATATGCTATGGTTTTAGCAATATGAAAAGACAAAATGTTAGCGCAGTTATGTGTAATTTAATGTTGGAAATGTTCCAAGAAATATGTCACTCAGCGATTTCATCATTATACATGCATCATAGAGCATATTTACACAAACCTAAATTGTTTGGCCTGGTACACACATAGGCCATTTGGTATAACCTGTGCACTTCTTATGGGACCACCATTGTGAATGTGATGCATTGTTGACTGAAATGTCATTTTACAGTGCATGTCTGTAAAAAAGAATTGGGAAGAACCATCAGACAAACCCTATGGTTACATTGTCTAAGACAACTACCCTGACCATTTCAAAAGACGTTATGGGGAACCAGCAGTTAGCGTAATGGCTATGTCGCTGGACTCCCACGTAGTTGACCGTGGTTCACGTCCTGGACCCGGTGGCTTAAAACTCACGCTGGGCGCGTGTGCGTGCATGCCCAAGATCCCAAGAGGAGAATGAAGGAGAAGGGATTGCGGCATGACCATCCTCCCGGGGGTGATTTCTCGCTTTCTGTCTCTATGTCTCTCTGTCTGTCTGGTGAGCGCACATGCCTTATAGCAAAAACCTCTACAAAAAAAAAAGACGTTATGAAAACTACAAAATATGGAGAGAGATTAAAAGAGACCAAATGAGTACTTGAGGCCAGCAGTTGGTGTAATGGCTATGTCATTGGACTCTCATGTAGTTGACCGTGGTTCGAGTACTAGACCCAGTGGCTTAAACTCACGCTGGGCACGTGTGCATACATGCCCAAGATCCCAAGAGGAGAATGAAGGAGAAGGGATTGCGGCATGACCATCCTCCCGGGGGTGATTTCTCGCTTTCTGTCTCTCTGTCTCTCTCTGTCTTTCTGGTGAGCACACATGCCCTATAGCAAAAACCCTCTCAAAAAAAGAAAAGCAAAAAAAACATATTTGGATCTAAAATGGGGGAGAGCAGTCTATAAAAGTTATTTAGAGGGCAAGTGGTGAAATATAAATATGGTCCATATATAGGGTGATTCAGGAATGATATTTTTTAAAGCTTTAGTGTGATAATGGCATTGGTGTAAGAGATATTCCTCATTCTGAAGAAATAAGTGCTAAAGTTTTTAAAGGTGATATGTGCAGTTTAGTTTAACATGGTTCAAAAAAATATGTGTATATATAGGGAACCAGCAGTTAGCGTAATGGCTATGTTGCTGGACTCCCACGTAGTCGACCGCGGTTCGTGTCCCGGACCCGGTGGCTTAAAACTCACGCCGGGCACATGTGCGTGCGTGCCCAAGATTCCGAGAGGAGAATGGAGGAGAAGGGATTGCGGCGTGACCATCCCCCCTGGGGGGTGATTTCTCGCTTTCTGTCTCTCTGTCTCTCTCTGTCT